CATTCATTATTACCTGGTTGTCAGTCTTACATAGGAAGTGTGGCATTTTGGGATTTCACATTGCTGGATTTTAAAAGAACCTTTTTAAATCCTAATGTGCTTGGAGAAATTTTAGAGCATGATGCATGCCGTTTGGTGGATCAACTGACCACCCTTCCTTCTGCACCCTTCCAGGAGCTGGCCCTCTTCGACCAATTCCGAGAGTGGCCTGACGGCTATGTGCGCTTCATCTACAGCAGTGATGAGAAGAAGGCACAGCGCCACCTGAGCGGCTGGGCCATGCGCAACACCAACAACCACAATGGCCTCATCCTCAAGAAGTCGTGCCTGGGTGTGGTGGTGTGTGCACAGGCCTGTGCCCTGCCCGACGGTTCCCGCCTGCAGCTCCGGCCAGCCATCTGCGACAAGGCACGGCTGAAACAGCAGAGTGAGGATGCGGGGCTAGGGAAAGGGTTACCTTGGAGTCATAAGTTCCTTTTTTTTTGAGATGGAGTTTCGCTCTTGTTGCCCAGGCTGGAGTGCAATGGCTGATCTCAGCTCACTGCAACTTCTGCCTCCCGGCTTTAAGTGATTCTCCTACCTCAGCCTCCCAAGTAGCTAGGATTATAGGCATGCACCACCACGCCCAGCTAATTATGTATTTTTAGCAAAGATGGGGTTTCTTCATGTTGGTTACCCTGGTCTCGAACTCCTGACCTCAGGTGATCCACCCTCCTCAGCTTCCCAAGGTGCTGGGATTGTACAGGTGTGAGCCACCCCGCCCGGCCATGAGTTCTTTAGTCCCAACTCATTTTCCCCTTCTTCCTTCCGAAGGGCCTGGGGTCAGAGTTAATATTTCTCCCTTCTGGGCTTTGCAGAGAAGACATGCCCTAACTGTCATTCTGCTTTGGAGTTGATTCCTTGTCGAGGGCACAGTGGATACCCTGTAACCAACTTTTGGCGGCTTGATGGCAACGCAATCTTTTTTCAGGTAGGTTAGGTGAGAATACAATTTGTGATGGATACTTTTCATCGGACCATAAAGGCCAGACCACCTGTCATGTGCCTTGGGAACACTGGGCCAAACAAAATACAGCTCCAGTGGCCAGAAATAGGTGCTGGAGCCCCCTGGGGCCCTATCGGGGAGACTAGGAATTCGCTCACTACTGTGAGCTCTTTAAGGTCCAGAGATGGTAAACCAAGTTGTAGTTACAGTTCTTTTAATAGAGTGAGAGGATTGCAATGATCTTTTAATATGTTAATTATCGATGCTGTTTTATTCAAGAATTTTTTTTTCTGTCGTCTTGAAAGAAGCAAAACTAAACACTTGAGATCTTAGGAATGGCACGATCAATTTTTGGGCTACATTGTCAGCTTCCTTTAGGGACACAAATGTATGATTTATTTTCTCCTTATCGCAGGCCAAGGGAGTTCACGATCACCCAAGACCAGAGAGCAAATCAGAGACAGAAGCTAGAAGAAGCGCCTTCAAGAGACAAATGGCCTCTTTCTACCAACCCCAGAAAAAGAGAATTCGAGAATTCGAGGTAACTGGGAACTGACAGGGCATGGTGGCCTCTGCTTATTTTCATCCCAAGATACACTGATAAGTATGTAAAATATGCAGGTCATACATTAATTACAAGGGTTTGATTTCATGTGAAAATTATATGTCTGTCACAAAATATCATCAAATCAACATCTGAATAGGGTTTCTGATCCCTTTTTCTCCTTAAAAGAAAAAGCAACAATCTCTGCAGGCAGTGATACAGTCCTGATATGTCAGTGTGCTGACATCCTAATATAGGGACAATTATGCAGCAGTGGTAAAGATGGAAATGTGTGCCAGTGATACAGTCCTGATATGTCAGTGTGCTGACATCCTAATATAGGGACAATTATGCAACAGTGGTAAAGATGGAAATGTGTGCCTACCAACAGGAAGTTAGCAGTGTGTCCTTGAGAGGGTCCTTTCCATGATATTATCCGCAAGAACAGATAACATTTCTCTGTGCAGTTTAATGCAGTGTGGCTTTTCAACCAAAGCATGCCAAGCAGGCAGAGTGTTAGTGCGAGGATAACAGAAACTGACAGGGCCTATGTTCCAGGCACTGGTCTGAGTTTCACACATTTGATGGTTGCAGAAACCCTATAGCAAGGTTACTATTATTAAGTTCCATTTTATTTATTTACTTATTTATTTATCGAGACGGAGTCTCACTCTGTCATCAGGCTGGAGTACAGTGGCGCAGTCTCAGCTCACTGCAACCTCTGACTCCCTGGTTCAAGCAATTCTCCTGCCTCAACCTCCTGAGTAGCTGGGATTACAGGCACGCGCCACCACACCCAGCTAATATTTGTATTTTAGTAGAGATGGGGTTTAACCATGTTAGTCAGGATGGTCTCAATTTCCTGACCTCATGATCCACCCACCTCAGCCTCCCAAAGTGCTGGGATTGAAGACATGAGCTACTGCACCCAGCCATTAAGTTCCATTTTTTTTTTTTTTTTTTTTGAGACGAAGTTTCGCTCTTGTTACCCAGGCTGGAGTGCAATGGTGCGATCTCAGCTCACCGCTACCTCCTCCTCCTGGGTTCAGGCAGTTCTCCTGCCTCAGCCTCCTGAGTAGCTGGGATTACGGGCACGCACCACCATGCCCAGCTAATTTTTTGTATTTTTAGTAGAGACGGGGCTTTACCATGTTAACCAGGATGGTCTCTTGACCTCGTGATCCACCCGCCTCGGCCTCCCAAAGTGCTGGGATTACAGGCTTGAGCCACCGCGCCCGGCCCAGTTCCATTTTTAAGATGAAGAATCTGAGGCTCAGAGAGGTTAAGTGGCTTGTTCAATTCATGAGGGACAGAGTGAGCATTGAACCCAAGCCTGTGTGCCTCCTAAGTCTCTACTATTAGGAACACAGTGTGGGTGAGAACAGGACCATCTGCCACTCAGAAGCCTCCTACCTGGCTACCATGGACCTTCCTCCTTCTGTCGTGTGGTATTTATGCCTGAGTGAGCTCCAGCTTAGCAACCCCGGACCGCATGCTTAAATCACACACCTGAGCAGTGCAGTGTTCACAGCACGGAGCCCAGCACATGGACATCTGTTTTTACTTCCTTGTTGGCTACTGTTACAGGTGAAGGTGTCCAAAGAATTTACATAGTATGTATCTGTGTTTGTTTCATTTTTTAGGTAGAAGACAATCAAGACATCAGTGGTCCTGATTTCAGCAACACACCCTTGGAAAATCCAGAAGACTTTGATATAGTTACTGAAACCAGCTTTTCTATTCCAGGGCAGCCTTGCCCTTCCTTCCCAAACTCTGATGCTTACAAAGCTACCTGTGACCTAGCCACCTTTCAAGGAGACAAAATCCCACCCTTTCAAAAATATTCAAGCCCAAGAATCTATTTGCCTAGGCCACCTTGCAGCTATGAATTGGCAAATACTGCTTATACAAATTCAAGCCCATATCCCACCCTTTATAAGGATTCCACCAGTATCCCTAGTGACACAGACTGCATTCATCCGAACACACTACAATATAATGTCAATTCATACAGCAGCTATGGGAGAAGCTTTGATTTCACGGACAAACAGCCTGTCTGGAAACCATCTCTTGGAAAACCCAGCCTTGTGGAGAGGACTGACCATGGGCAGTTTCAGGCTGTGGCCACTCGCCCTTATTATAATCCAGAGCTTCCCTGTAGGTACCTCACGACTCTGCCACCAGGTGCCCTACAAACCGTGATCACCACCACCACCAAAGTGTCCTACCAGGCCTACCAGCCCCCTGCTAGGAAATACAGTGACGGTGTGCGAGAGGTTAAGAGCCTTTCAAGCTGTAGCTATGCTCCTGAAGATACCGGGATGTCGGTCGCGGTCTCTCCAGAAGCCTGGGGTCCTCCAGCGACAGTCACCAGGGCAGCCTCTCCTTCAGGGCCACTTCCTATGAAAACTGCAGGAGATTGCTGGGCCATCAGACCCACTGTGGCTATTCCCCACCAGCCAATTTCCTCCAGGACAGATGAAGCAGAGACTTGGGATGCGTGTCTGTCTGGGCTGGGCTCTGCAATCAGTCACTCAGAGAGAGTAGTTCCCGTCTTTAGCTATAACAGTGAGGATTTTTGAAAGGGAATTCAGGGGACCACAAAATAGCAGTGTGCATGCAGGCAGGAGGCAGGGAAACGTGAAATGGCAGTGATCTCTTGTTGAGTTGGGAGATTCACCTTGTGTGCAAAGAAATATGGATGGTAGTAAAAATGCTGATTAGCTGAGAAAATAATCAATTGGAAATGTTTAGGTCATCTTGGGACATTTCACACAGCATTCTGAAACTGGCTACAATACATAGATGTAACTCAGGAAAGTGCGGTCTCTCAAATGAATGAATAAGCAAACTGGAGGAGGTTAAATACTGACCAAAGTTCACTTAGCTTATTAGCGGGAGTAGAGTCAGGGATTCTGGTTCTTACTCTAAGCCTTTTCCCATTAGAGCACTTCAGGGAATTTTACATCCCTAGAGGCTGTCAAAATAGCTCCAGGAAGAAAGTTTTACAACCTTCTGAGTCATTTCACGACTTTTTTTAGCATTTAGAACCTGTTAAAATAGCTTCAGGAAGTAATTTTGATTGTTTTGTCTCCAACTTACATATCTACAGCTTTTCAAAAAATCTCTAGCAATGGTAAAGTTCAATTGTTTTTAAAAGATTCAATATTAGCTGAATGCCTTTTCATAACATGATCGTTTCCGTAACAGAGACGGCCTAACAATGATGAGTTGTATTTAATGAATTATCATTGTACCAAACACATTTCTTTCTGATTAGGTTTCAGAATTAGAATTAAAATGTTTTGCTAAAACACAGCTTTACTGTTCCTTTGTTATTCTTCATAAAGGTAATTAATAATGTTCAATAATTAATAACGTTGTTCAATTAAATGTAATAAGGACATTTTAAAGTAATGAAGCTAATTCTTGACTTACTTCAAAACAGAAATAGGAAAAAAATTGCTCATATTATGACCTAGGAAACAGTTGTTATGAAACATTAAAACTTATTAAATGCACCAAGAGAGGTGGCTCATGCCTGTAATCCCAACACTCTGGGAGGCTGAGGCAGGAGGACTGCTTGAGTCCAGGAGTTCAAGACCAGTCTGGGCAACAGAGAGAATCCCCATCTCTGGGTGACAGAGAGAGACCCCAGGGGCATGGCAGTGTGCCTGTAGTTCCAGCTACTTGGGAAGCTGAGGTGGGAGGATGGTTTAAACTCAGGAGGTCAAGGCTGCATCAGCCATCTTTGTGCTCCTGCACTCCAGCTTGGGCAGCAGAGCAAGACCCTGTCTCAAAAAGAAAAAAAGTATTAAATAGTTTGACTGTTTTGTAGTTTATTTGCAAAATACCTGCTGTTATATTCTGTCATAACAGAAAGAGCCTTTTCAAAACATTTGAAGTGTGCACACACATACTTTTGCACTGCTCCCAATGTTCACTAATATTTAGTGGAAAATATTCTGTTTTCAAATAAAGATAAACTACACAAGCAATATATTTTGAGAAGGTTGCCTAGAAGTATCCTCCAATTTGCATAGAATATCAATTTGTGTAGCTAAATTGTAGTAAGTCAGATCCCATTTTAAATCATTGGGCATTCTATATTGTCCAATTAATTCAGAAAAGTTTAATACCCCAACATAACAAATGCATGCAGTACTGACCAAAAGATTAAGTAGGTGAGTACACTCCTATGAGTTTCTAACAAACCAATTTTTTTCAAAGGGAAAGATGCTTAGTACACTCATCGATTACTTTTTTCTTTGGACTTCCATTGCCAATGCTCACAAGCTATAATATCTAACATTTATATAGCACTTACTGGCCAAACACAGTGGCTCACACCTGTAATCCTAGCACTTTGGGAGGCTGAGGCAGGTGGATTGCTTGAGCCCAGGAGTTAAGAGACCAGCCTGGGCAACATGGCAAGACCCCATCTCTACTAAAAAAAATACAAAAATTAGCTGGATGTGGTGGCACACGCCTATAAGTCCCAGCTACTCAGAAAATTGACATGGAAGGATGGCTTAAGCCCAGGAGGTAGAGGTTACAGTGAGCCGAGATAGCACCACTGCACTCCAGCCTGGGCAACAGAGCTAGACTCGGTCTCAAAAAACAAAGAACATTTTTTAAAAAAAAAGAAAAAAATTTTAAATGTATATGTATACACATACATATCAGCATTTCCCATGTGTCAGACATTGTAAGCCCTGAATATACATTAATTGATGGAATCTTCACAGCTGCCCTCTGAGCTACCTGAGGAGATGAAATGACTTATACAGCAAGTGGGAGACCAAGATTTGAATCCAGCTCATCTCCAGAGTGCATGTTCTTAGCCAATGCTGTTTATATTGGCTTTGATTGCACTCCTTTATCAATAAATTGCATTTACACTTAAGTGTTTCTCTTGGCACAGAGCGAGCTATGTTATTTCTGTTTGTGTTCTAATGTGGGACCTGAGGAATCCTGGCAGGATGGGGAGGAAGGGCGCAGGATGGGGAGGAAGGGCCCAGGATGGGAGTGAGCAGACAGCCTGGAGTCCCTGAGACAGTCATTTCCCAAAGCGTGGTGCAAGAGTCCCATGGGGTACAGAGTGGGTTTAAACAGTCCATAAATATTTCAGCAGTCACTGACTTATTTTGATGTATAATAGAAAAAGATATGAATAGCACATCAAACCTATGATTTTAGGTGATGCCCATCAAAATCTTGAAAGACACAATTCTGAATGCCATAATCCCAAATGTTGAAATCCAGAAAGATCAAAATCCCTGATGTTCAACATCTCAAAAGACACAATCCCAAAAGTTGAAATCCTGAAAGCTGAATTCTGGAAAAGGGGCTAGTGCATTTTTAGTTGTATGAAGGATAGTTACATTATGTTGGTCGCGTCATAGGCAGAACTACCTAGTCTTTATTTGGAAGTTAAGTATGGTTTAAGGAGATGCATATGGGTGCCAAGTTATCAGGAGGTTAACTTGTCACTGTGTAAACACAGTGTAAATAGGAGAAGTATGGCATGAAATGGGCTGAAATGGAAAGCAGGGCTCAGAGCCTTGAAGTCCAGTACAGCCCATCTAGATTTTATTCCAAGAGCCGTGGCAAACCACTGAAGAATTTTAAGCAAAAAAGTGGCATGATCCAGTTTATGTTTTGAGAATAATAATCCCGATGCTGTATGGACACTGGATTAAAGCTGGGTTTAGAAAGCAGGAAGGTGACTGTGAGGCAAAAATGCTGGTGGCTTGGACTAGAAAGTAGCAGTGGAGATCGAAGGAAGTAGACTGATTCAAAATGTAATTTGGGGAAGACCCACCCACGAGCCCCTCTGTCTCTGCAAGGGAGAGAACTATTCTCCTTTCCCTTTCTTCCACCTATTACACCTCTGCTCTTAAACTCACTTCTTGCACGTCCATGTCTTCAATTCCCTTGGTATGAGATGACACTGCTTCATTTTGGGGCCCCGTATGGGACCATTGGAAGGGTTTCTAATAGCTTTGAAGATTGCAACATTAGAATAGAGAAAAAACATGCAGGACTCACGAAGAGCTGAAACATTCATGAATGTCAAACAGGACTTAACTGCATGAACTACACTAATAGAAGTCTGAAGACACAGCTGGAGAAGCTGATGGTTTTACCAGGGCTTTGACTGGAGAATGTGCTTCCATTTAAGGAATCCGGCTTGACTTGTAGAACCAATAAAAGCCCCTTGGGGATGACTGGCCTCCTACCTTGTCTACATGGTCCCCCGTACCTGTGACTAACCCTGCTTATTCACGTGAATCGACTAGGGATCTCCTGCAGCTTGGAAGAAACAAAAAGGAATGGGTAATGTAAAAACCTGGATCAATATGCCAGTTCTGGGCAATTTTCCTGAAAATCCTGCCAGGTAATAAAAGTAAATAGGGTGCCCATAAAAAAATGTAAGTTGGAGGTAGCATCGGTGGACCTTACTTATGATTTAGGTGTGGGATAGTAAGGAATAAGGAAAAATCAAGAACTACTCTCAGTTTCTGGCTTCAACAAACCGAGTAACTGTCGGTACCACTCTCTGAAGTATTGGCAGCTGAAAAAAGAACAGTTATGGTCCCTTAATGCTTGTGAGTCATCAAAGCTATCAGATGCATATAACGCTGGAGCTCTGTGGAAGGTCAGAGATACAGATATGTATCAGGAAATCGTAAGTATAAAGCTGCTTTTTAAAGCCAATAGTAGCTCACCTAGTAAGATAATCTAGAGCTGTACTGTCCAATATGGTAACCACTGGCCATATGTGCTAATATAAATTGATTAAAATTAAATAAATGTTAGCCAGGCACAGTGGCTCATGTCTGTAATCCCAGCACTTTGGGAAGCCAAGGTGGGTAGATCACTTGAGGTCAGGAGTTCAAGACCTGCCTGGCCGACATGGTGAAACTCATTCTCTATAAAAAATACAAAAATTACCCAGGTGTGATTGTGCATGTCTGTAATCCCAGATATCCCAAGGTTGAAGAAGGAGGATCTCTTGAACCAAGGAGGCAGAGGTTGCAGTGAGCCAAGATGGCGTCACTGCATTCCAGCCTGGGTGACAGAGCAAGGCTTTCATAAAAAAAAATTTTTAATTAAATAAAATTTAAAAGTCCATCCCTCAGTCACACTAGCCACATTTCAAGTGCTTAGTTGCCATCTGTAGCTAGTGGCTACTGCATTGGATGGCGCAGAGAGAGGACATTTCCATCCTCATAAGAGAGTTCTATTGGGCAGTGTTGTATAGAGGAGGACGGGGGACCTTGTATGAAGCCATGAGGAGTTCCCAATTTGGAGTTAGAGGAGAAGGATCTGACAGAGGAGATGAGAATTAGTGGCCAGATAAGTAGAAAACCAGGACAGAGAAGGGGGTCACAGAAGCCAGAGCCAAACTCTCTTAAGTGAGAAGGAGGTCAGCATTGCAGAATGTGGCTGAGATGTTAACATGAGTACAGAAAAGGGTTCACTGCGTGTGGCAACAAGGAACACGCTGGTGACCACAAAGACACCTGTTTCTATGGGGTGATGGGGCTCTGTGAGGCAGATTGGAATGGGCCAAGAGGCCAAGGGGAAACAAGGAGCTGGAGGCAGCATGTGTACTCTCTGGATAATGGAAGGTTGATTTCCAAGTGTGAATAAAAGTCTACATGCTTGATTAAAAACTGTATTCAGAGCTTCAAATTTCTTCCAGTGAAATTTGCCTTGGTGATAGGGTTGCCAGAGTTAGCAAACACAAATACAGGCCACTCAGTTAAATTTGAATTTTGGATAAGCAATGAGTAATTTTTTAGTATAAGCACAGTTGTTCATCACTTATCAATGGGAATATGTTCTAAGAAATGTGTCCTTGGGTGACCGTCCTTGTGAAGAAATCAGATTGTATTTACACAAACCTAGATGGTAGAGCCCACGATACACTTAGGTTAACATGGCTCCCAGGCCACAAACCTGGACATCGCAGTGCTGTACTGAATACTGCAGGCAATTACAACATAATGGTACTTGTGTATCTAAACCTATCTCGATGCAGAAAAGGTTCAGTGAGAACAGGACACGTACCATGAATGGAGCTTGCAGGACTGGAAGTTGTTCTGGGCGAGTGAGTGGGTGGTGAGAGAATGTGAAGGCCCAGGACCTTACTGTACACTACAGACTCTATAAACACTGCACACTTAGGATACACTAAATATTTAAAATGTCTTTAATAATAAATTAACCTTCGCTTACTATAACATTTTTACTTTATAAAACTTTTTAATTTTAAGAAGCTTATATATAAATACATATGTATGTTTAAATTTTACTAAGTTCCGGGATACATGTGCAGAATGCACAGGTTTGTTACGTAGGTATACATGTGCCCTGGTGATTTGTTGCACCTATCAACCCATCATCTAGATTTTTTTTTGAGACGGAGTCTCCCTCTGTTGCCCAGGCTGGAGTGCAATGGCACAATCTCGGCTCACTGCAACCTTTGCCTCTTGGGGTTCAAGTGAGTCTCCTGCTTCAGCCTCCTGAGTAGCTGGGACTACAGACATGCACCACCAAGCCTGGCTAATTTTGTATTTTTAGTAGAGAAAGGGTCTTAAACTCCTGACCTCATGATCCACCTGCCTCAGCTTCCCAAAGTGCTGAGATTACAGGCATGAGCCCCACAACTGGCCTCATCTAGGTTTTAAGCCTCACATGCATTAGATATGCATCCTAATGCTATCCCTCCCCTTGCCTGCCACCTACCAATAGGCCCTGGTGTGTGTTGTTTCCCCCTCCTCCCTGTGTCCATGTGTTCTCATTGTTCAACTCCCACTTATGAGTGAGAACATGTGGTGTTTGGTTTTCTGTTCTTGTGTTAGTTTGCTGAGAATGATGGTTTCCAGCTTCATCCATGTCCCTGCAAAGGACATGATCTCATTCTTTTTTATGGCTGCATAGTATTCCGTGGTGTATGTGTGCCATATTTTTTTTTTTTTTGAGACAGAGTTTCTCTCTTGTTACCCAGGCTAGAGTGCAATGGCGCAATCTCGGCTCACTGCAACCTCCGCCTCCTGGGTTCAGGCAATTCTCCTGCCTCAGCCTCCTGAGTAGCTGGGATTACAGACACGCGCCACCATGCCCAGCTAATTTTTTTGTATTTTTAGTAGAGATGGGGTTTCACCATGTTGACCAGGATGGTCTCAATCTCTTCACCTCGTGATCCACCTGCCTCAGCCTCCCAAAGTGCTGGGATTACAGGCTTGAGCCACCGCATTTTCTTTATATAGTCTATCACTGATGGGCATTTGACTTGTTTCCAAGTTTTCACTATTGTAAATAGTGCTGCAAAAAAACATACATGTGCATGTGTCTTTGTAGCAGAATTTTTTTTAAACATTTTTACTCTTGTAATAACAGCTTAAAACACAAACACATTTTTTCCTTATTTATATTTCTTTCCTTCTATAAGTTTTCTTTCTATTCTTAATATTTTATTTTTTACTTTTTAAACTTTTTTGTTGTTAATAAGACACAAGCACATACATTAGCCTAGGCCTACACGGCCTACACAGGGTCAGCATCATCAATATCACTTCCTTCCACCTCCACATCTTCCCTCTGGAAGGTCTGCAGGAGCAATAACATGCACAGAGCTGTCATATCCTACGGTACCAATGCCTTCTTCTGGAATCCCTCCTGAAGGACCCATCTGAGGCTATTTTACAGTTAACTTTTAAAGTAGAAGGAGCACACTGTAAATAAGGATACAAAATATAGTAAATATATAAACCAGTAACATAGTTGTTAATTATCATTAAAGTATTATATGTTGTATGTAACTATGTGTGCTAGACTTTTACACAACTGCAATGCAGTATAGGCTGATTTACACCAGCATCACTGTAAACGTGTAAGTAATACATTTCACTATGATGTTATGATGGCTATGACATCAGGCAATAGGGATTTTTCAGCTCTATTATAATCTTATGGGACTCCATTATATATGCAGTTCATAGTTGACTGAAATGTCATTATGTAGTTCCTGAGTTATATCTCAAGTAGTGCATGAACTTAACAAATATTATTCATCATTTTTCTTAAATTCAAAGTTAGGTGTTCTGTATTTTATCTAGTACTCTATTTAATGTGAATTTATAATTTAATTTCATTTGTGTCAAAATGTACTAAATGACATTCGAACAAACTAAAAAACTAAAGTGCATTTACATAAAAACAATTTGGGTGCTGAACACTTATGAGGAAATCATACTTATTTTAACTGCACATTCTAGTGGGAGAAAACATATTTTATTATCCTTTCAAGTATACAGATCAAAGATAAGCAGTACAAGGTTTTAAAAAGCCAAAAATCACCCTCTGACATTTTCATTTACAAACCACACTATCGGCCAATAGTCATCCTACTTATTCATCTTTCCATTCCACTCGAGTGAAATAAAGCAAGAGTGTCCTTTGAATGTTACATCAGTAATGTATTTTCCATTCATCAGCCCATTAGAGTTGGGTTTTCTGATCCTCTCTCAGGCAGCTGAGCTACCCACATAGCATTGTGTTATGGTTTGAATGATGAATCTTTTCAAGCATGAGTCATGTCAGGGTTGTGGCCATAGGGGAGAAGAGGAGAGGAGAAGCCCTCTCCAGCCGCAGCCACCTGTGGCTCCTCAGACAGATGTAGCAGAAGGGCACTACTGAGTAAAAACGCCAGCCATCTGCACCTGTGGAAAATAAGAGAATTCTTTTCCAATGCTTCTTAAGGGCGAGGTTTTAAAAACTCCCGCTTGGAAACGTCTTCTGATTGAAGATAGCCTATTTATTAGACTGCAGTGCTGATCCAGGTTTCCATAAACCACCTGAATTCTTTCTCTTAACCACTTTAAGCACTATGCTTTTAAAGATGCTTTCCAGCTATTGCCAAGATGTAGCAATAAAACCCCTTAATTCAAACGTGCCCAGAAATGTGACACCAGAATGGATTCATCTATTCCAGTCTTCTGTTACCAGAACTGAGTGCCCTGTGGGCTTCTAAACACATGCCCATCCATTTCTTTCTTGGATTCTACTGTCCTCTGCAAGAATGCTGCTATCCTCACGGAATGCTAAAAAGAGCTTTCAAAATAAAGGTACAACTGTATGTTCGGTTTTGTGATTTGAAAAAGAAAAATTGGCCAGTTGTGGTGGCTCATGCCTGTAATCCCAGCACTTTAGGAGGCCGAGGTGCATGGATCATGAGGTCAGGGGTTTGAGACCAGTCTGGCCAATAGGGTGAAACCCTGTCTCTATTAAAAATACAAAAATTAGCCAGGCGTGGTGGTGGGTGCCTGTAATCCCAGCTACTCCAGAGGCTGAGGCAGGAGAATCGCTCGAACCTGGGAGGCAGAGCTCGCAGTGAGCCAAGATCTCCCCATTGCACTACAGCCTGGACAACAAAGTAAGATTATTTGAAAAAAAAATTATGATGTAATCAACAGAATATATGCATTCACCAACTAGACGCTAAATGCTATGAGAATTACAGAGAAGCATAAAATGAGGTCTCTGCTTTCATGAAATTTGTAGTAAGAGAAAACCAATAGGCCTGGCACCATGAGGCATAGCTGTAGTCCTAGCTCCTCAGGAGGCTGAGGCAGGAGGCTGGCTTGAGGCTGCAGTGCATGTGCTATGATCGTGTCTGTGAATGGTCACTGCACTCCAGCCTGGGAGACAGCAATACCCAGCCTCTAAAAAAATTTTCAAAAGAAATTTGTAGTAAACAAGAGAAATACGACATGCCAATTAACAGGTTAAATAGCAGGGCAAGGCAGTACATTATTGCATGCATTATAATATTTTATACATAGGAAAACAATGATATTTCAAGAATTTTTACTTACTAATTTTATGGTTGTTGGAAACTTTAAAATTGTGAAGGCTGAACTTGTCTCTGCAGGTGGAAGAGCTGGGTAGAGGGACCTTCTCCAAGGAAAGAATGAAGTGGGGAAGGCAAAATAGCCCAGCTGCAGAGGCGGAGGGGAAGATGGGCAACACTCTTCATGAATATTTTCTTCATCTTGAAGCTTTTCTTATTAAAATATTTTCCTTATTAGTATTTTCTTAACCAGATGTTCTTCAAAAACTTTTCATGTACACATTCCTCAAATCTCAAATTACATTGTAAGTAATGTATTCATAAAATCTTCTTTATGAAATTTGTTCATAAAATATTCTTTATGAAACATTCTTATTAATATTCAACAAAAATCTTTATAAATACATTCATAATAATGTAATTGAATGAAAAGAACACTGTTTCTATTTGTAAAAAAGCTATTTTTCAAGCGATAGATGTTGAATATGTTCATACACATAATAAACTTATCAATAATCCCATATGCAAACAAATCTTCTGAAAACCTACAATGTTCTAATTCTAAACCCTGACAATAAAGTGGTGGACAACGTAAGCATGGTTCTAGCCCTCATGGGGCTTACATTCTTTGTGAGGAATAATTTTTTTTTTTTTTTGAGACAGTCTCTGTCTGTGCCCCAGGCTGGAGTGCAGTGGCACAATCTCGGCTCACTGCAACCTCCGCCTCCCAGGTTCAAGCTATTCTTCTCATGCCTCAGCCTTCTGAGTAGCTGGGATTATAGACACCCACCACCACATTCAGCTAGTTTTTGCATTTTTAGTAGAGAAGAGGGTTTCACCATGTTGTCCAGGCTGGCTTGAACTTCTGACCTCAGGTGATCTGCCTGCCTCAGCCTCTCAATATGTTGGGATTATAGGTGTGAGCCATGGCATCTGGCCCAGAATGTTTTCAATAAAGGGAAGAGTGTTCTGTGTATTCCTATAACTAAGAAGTATTAATGAAGAATGTTGTCATGTGCCCTTTGTCTCTGCCACTCAGTGTTCCCCATCTTTCCCCCAGCAAAAAGTCTTTTTTCTGCCCAATTAACTGTATCACAGTAGCAGAAAGTCAAGGTGGAGATTAATCAAATATTCCTTGAGAGGCTATTATGAACATAAAATAAAAACTGGCTTATCCAAGTTTTGCAGAAATCCTCAAAACTTAAAGAAAAACAAACCCATATCCGTCATCCCATTCCAGTTAACAGCAATTGCTGGAAACTTTATAAATTGTTGTTGTTGTTTTTTAATTTAGAGACCTGGCTTGGGAAATGGCTTCCAATGAACATCCTTCATAAGGAATTTGCTCTCCACCATTCTGTTCTCATGCACTGACATCCAGTGGGTACCACATGTCAGCTGAGATACTTGAGACTTTATGTTGCAAAAAAGAGAAGGCGGGTAAAGAGTGAGAGAACACTAAATACTGCCAGGGTCAAATGTGGTTGTAGAGATGCAGAGGAGGGCCCTCCACCAGCCTGTGTTTCGCTGCCCTAGGAGGGATCTCAGGGCCACCTGTGCTCCAATGTCTTACACAGTTGTAGTAAATGGCTCTTCTCTACTATCACTTCCAGGTGAACCAGGGGGAGACTGGAGCACCTTGTAGTGCAAGAAAGTAAGGGCTTCAAGCAGCAACAATAAAAACAGTAGTGAAGGTAGGCAATCCAAGATGGCTGAATAGGAACAGCTCTGGAGTGCAGTTCCCAGCGAGAATGCAGAGGGTGAGCAATCACCACATTTCCAAACGAATTTTTACTGCCCACAGATGAGGACAATCTCAGGTGGAAACACACCACAAGTCTCCAGCACGGCTGTTTGAGCTGGCACAGTGGGTCTCCACACAAAAACTCACACAAATCTGGGTGCCCTTTGAACTGGAGCCTGGTATGCCTGGGAGACAGATTTGCTCATTCAACTGAAAAAAAGGGGCCTGAAACAGGGAGCCAGGATCTGGCTCAGCAGGTCCCACCCCCACAAAGAACAGCAATCTGAAAGACTCTGGATTGAGAGTTTCACAGCAAGCACAGCTGGAGCTGGGACAGTCCAGCTCTGTTGGGGGAAGGGTGTCTGCCATTATTGAGGGAGTCCACCACTACCAAGGCAGTCTGCCACTACTGAGGCAGTCCGCCATTATTGAGGCAGTCCACCATTACCAAGGCAGTCCACCATTACAGAGACAGTTCGCCATTACTGAGGCAGACTGCCATTACTGAGGCAGTTCTAACTATACCTTTATAAACAAAACTGCAAGGAAGTACACACAGCAGTGGGACAGAGCCCACGGCAGCTCAGCAACACCTCTACTGGCAGACTGTGACTAGGCTACCTCGTCACTGGGCAGAGCATCTTTGAAAAAAGGCAGCAGCACATCAGGAACTTATAAGTAAAGCCCCACTTTCCCAGGACAGAGCACCAGGGAAATAAAGGTAGTTATGAGTTCTGCTGCAGCAGACTTAAACGTAACCTGCCCAACATCTCTGAATGGAACAACAGAGCTCACAGCTCAGCTCTTGAGCTCCATAAGGGACAGACTGTCTCCTCAAGCAGCTGCCTGACCCCTGTATATCCAGAGACACCTCATAAAGGAGAGCACAGGCTGACATCTGGCAGGTATCCTTCTGGGACAAAGATAACAGAAGAAGAAACTGGCAGCAACCCTTAGTATTCTGCAGCTGCTGCAGGTGATCCCCAGGCAAGCAGGGTCTGGAGTGGACCTCCAGCAGTCCTGCAGCAGAGGGGCCTAACTGTTAGAAGGAAAACTAAAAAACAGAAAGAAACAACTTCATCATCAACACAAAGGATGTCCACTCAGAGACCCCATATGAAAGTCACCAACCACGAAGACCACAGGTAGATAAATCCACAAAGATGGGAAGAAACCAGTGTAAAAACAATGAAAACACCCAAAACCAGAATGCCTTTCCTCCTCCAAGGGATCACAACTCCTCACTAGAAAGGGAACAAGGCTGGATGGAGAATGAGCCTGATGAATTGACAGAAACAGGCTTTATAAGGTAGGTAATAAGAAACTTCTCTGAGTTAAAATAACACCTTCTAACCAAAGGCAAAGAAACTAAGAACCTTGAAAAAAGGTTTGGCAAAATGCTAATGAGAATAAACCGCTTAGAGGAGAATATAAATGAATTGATGGAGCTGAAAAACACAAGAACTTCATGAAGCATGCACAAATTTCAATAGCTGAATTTACCAAGCAGAAGAAAGGATATCAGAGATTGAAGATCAACTCAATGAAATAAAATGATAAGGCAAGATTAGAGAAAAAGAGTGAAAAGAAATGAACAAAGCCTCCAAGAAATATGGGATGACATGAAAAGAGCTAACCTATGTTTGATAGATGTACCTGAATGTGACGAAGAGAATGAATCCAAGCTGAAAAACACTCTTTAGGATATTATCCAGGAGAACTTCCCCAACCTAGCAAGGCAGGCCAATATTCAAGTCCAGGAAACACAGAGAACACCACAAAGATATTCCTCAAGAAGAGCAACCCCAAGGCACATAATCATCAGATTCACCAGGGTTGAAGTGAAGAAAAAAAATGCTAAGGGCAGCCAGAGAGAAAGGTCAGGTTACCCGCAAAGAGAAGACCATCAGACTCACAGCAGATCTCTTGGCAGAAACCATACAAGCCAGAAGAGAGTTGGGGGCAATATTCAACATCCTTAAAGAAAAGAACTTTCAACCTAAAATTTCTTATCCAACCAAACTAAGCTTCATAAGCGAAGGAGAAATAAAATCCTTTATGAACAAGCAATTGTTGAGATATTTTGTCACCACCAGGCCTCCTTTATAAGACTCCTGAAAGAAGCACTAAACATAGACAGAAACAACCAGTACCAGCCACTCCAGAAATGTACAAAATGGTGAAAAGCACAGACACAATGAAGAAACTGCATCAACTAATGGGCAAAACAACAAGCTATCATCAAAATGGTAAAATCAAATTCACACATACCAATATTAACCTTAAATGTAAATGAGCCAAATGCCCCAATCAAAAGACACAGACTGGCAAATTGAATAAAAAGTCAAAACCCATTAGTGTGCTGTATCCAGGAAACCCATCTCACATGCAAGGATACACAAAGGCTCAAAATAAAGAGATGGAGGGAGATTTACCAAGCAAATGGAGAGCAAAAAAAAAAAGCAGGAGTTGCAATTCCAGTCTCTGATTAAATAGACTTTAAACCAACAAAGATCAAAAGAGACAAATAAGGGCATTACATAAAGGTAAAAGAATAAATGCAGCAAGAAGAGCCAACGATTTTAAATATATACATACCCACTAGAGGAGCACTCAGATACATAAAGCAAGTTATTAAAGGCCTACAAAGAGACTTAGACTCCCACACAATAATAGTGGAAGACTTTAACACTCTATGGTAAATATTAGACAGATCAATGAGATAGAAAATTAACAAGGATATCCAGGACTTGAACTCAGATCTAGACCAAGCAAACCCAATAGACATCTACAGAACTCTCCACCTCAAATCCACAGAATATACATTCTTCTCAGCACCACGTCACATCTACTCGGAAACTGACCACATAATTGGAAGTAAATCACTATTCAGCAAATGCAAAAGAACGGATATCATAACAGTCTCTCAGACCACAGTGCAATCAAATTAGAACTCAGGATTAAAAAACTAACTCAGAACTGCACAACTTCATAGAAACTGAACAACTGGCTCTTGAATGTTGACTGGATAAACAATGAAATGAAGGCAGATATAAAGATGTTCTTCAAAACCAATGAGAACAAAGGATGTGACCTCTTCAAGGAAAACTACAAACCACTGCTCAAGGAAATAAGAGAGTATACAAACAGATGGAGAAACATTCGATGCTCATGGTTAGGAAGAATCAATATTGTGAAAATGGCCATACTGCCCAAAGTAATTTACAGATTCAATGCTATCCCCATCATGCTACCAATGACCCTCTTCACAGAAGTGGAAAAAAAACACCTTAAACTTCATATGGAATGAAAAGAGAGCCTGCATAGCCAAGTTAATTCTAAGCAAGAAGAACAAAGCTGGAGGCATCATGCTACCTGACTTCAAACTATACTACAAGGCTACA